TTGTTTTAATATGGGCATTCTATCCACAGCGTAGCGAGTCTATTAATAATGGTGTCATGACATTTCTAAGCTCACAAGTTTTATAACTGATTATTTTCTTTGTTTAGAGAAAGTGATGAGGGCTTGGCATCAGAATGAACATGATGAAGATTACAAATGCAACCTGTCTGAAATAGAACTTATAATAAAAAGCAGCCTAATATTAAATCAAGCTGCCCAAATTTTTTTCAATGAAATTATATTTATTTTTTTAAGAATAATTTTTATAGGGTGTGAGTGAAATGAATATAGAGTTTGTGTCATGTGTTTCTTTAAAGTTCTATCTGTCGCACACAGAATAAGGATCAGCTGAATCATATGATTTAACTTCCTGGCTAATTTCTTTTCATTATATATTATGACATATTGTAATTATTTTTTCTTGAGATTAATTTTTTTTAATAGGGAAACCACCTGTGAAGGACAACACAACATAAATGTCTTCACGTTCAAAGCAGTGTAATTTCACAAGCATGCTCGAATGCTTCACTGAGGAATTCATAATTGACGTACCCTCTAGTCAGCCATTAGCTGAGTACATGAGGATAATGATGGATTTCATTTCTTCATAATAATAAATGTAATAAATTTATTTGTGAATATCAATTGTTTAAGTAAAATATTAATTGTAATTAAATTTATTTGTAACGATTGAATGTTAATAAATCATTATATACAATTTTTGATAAAATAATAACTTGGTTTGAATGATTGAAATCTCAAACTACTCAGCGCTTTAATTATACTTTATATTGGGAAAAAAACTCAGCACTTTTAATTGTAGCTGTGTAAGGAAAATATTTTGCTGTTTAATTCATTTCTTGAAATTAAATTTTCATTTAAAGAAATTTTTGTACTAGAAAATTGCTTTAGCTTGAATTATATTTAAAGTAATTGAACTAAGCATTTATTGCGTATTCACTACGTTTTGTTGTGTATTCACTACATTTTTTTTGCATATTTACTACTTATTTACTGCATATTTACTACGTATTTGATGCGTATTATTTAATTTTTTGCTTTTTGATTCTGGTACGTGTATCTCGCTATTTGCCTGCTTGGGTGCCCTTGCATAAGTAATAATTTATGTTTGAGGTGGTTGAATTTGGTGCCGTTTGGTTCATTCTATGGATAGTCCTTTTTAGCTGGCTTGATCGCTTTTATTGCCATCTTTATATTGGCACGTGTATCTCTGTTGTTTGCTTTAGTTGGTTGAAGGGGGCCGGTTTATTCAGTCCTATTGATGATCCTTTATTGTTGGTTTAACTTCTTTTTTGTCTCTATGTTATCTTTTGGAGGCATGTGTGAACTATCTTCTCTATATAAGCTTGTTCACAGTTTACTTCTTTCCTTGTTATGGAATGTAGTGTATGGTATTTTCAAATACTCTAACTAAGTATTTGCTGCGTATTTACAAATATTCAATGAATACTCATTAATCCTGACAGTCTGGACTCCCCACGTAAAAATTAGTCAATTATTGAATGGCTGGTGCAAACGGTCAAAGATGCACCAATCAATGAGAATGAAAAACGTCTTAAAGTTTCAGTGCAAAAGCAGAACAACTTGGAATTTTTGAGTTTAGTGGAGAGATTTTCCACTAATACTAGTAAAACTGATATGTTTCATTTGGGAAGACTGGATTCAAATTCTTAAAGTACCACTTCTTGACTTGCTTTCACTATCATGGTATTCAAGTTGTTGTTATACATCTGTGCAGATGTTACAGCCCTCATGAAGGTGAATGTTCTTGCTTATTTTCGGTCATACTCTTCTCCACAAAGGACGGGAAACAATTGGCATTGCAAAGAACATAATTGTGTGACAATCTTGTCAATTGTGACAGTCTCAGCTTTATTAAAATGTATGTTTTTTGCAATGTTATTTGTTACCTGATCTTTACGAAGTATGACATAAAATAGGGAAGAACATTCACCTTCATGAGAGCTGTAACTAAGCAATTACGTACAAATACTCAACAAATACCCCAATTGAGTATTTGATATGTATTTGCTGCTTATTTACAATATTCAAAATATAACAGACAAAAAATAACATACTAACCTTTTTTGAATGTAAAGCTATTTACGCAGATGAAAACTAATCGAATGGTGGAAGTTGCAAGAAGAACTATGAATGCTTGTGTTGCGAGGAGAGCAATGAACGATGAAGAAGAAAACTGAATAGGCCCTTGAAAAGTGAAAATTTTGTCATTTTCACTTTTTTTACCTGGACTCTGGGCGGGTCGGTCCGGATGAGAAGACATAAAAATGTAAAAAATAATAAAACTAAATACATATGAATATCCACGTCGTAATCAACGCATCATGATTTTAGTGGCGTTCAGACGCAAAGCTACGTCCGGAGTTGAGGCATATTATACACACACAAGCACACACAACTAAATAAACTTAATTAAACACTTTTACTTCCCAAAATAATTCTCATGCCTTGCACACATTCGTTCTGTCACATGAGATGGACATCACCTATGAAAGTTCAAATATTGGTTGTTAGACCGACTTGAACTTTTTTTAGACCGACTTGAACTATAAATGCACACCAAGAGGGGGTGAATTCGTGTTTATAATATTTCCCTTTAAAAATTATCCCTTTTGAAATATAATTCAGTAAAAAATAATATGACAACACCTATCTAAACAAAATTTTGTTTTGATTTTAAACAAAACTTGCCGAGAAAAAAATATTTTTCGGTTTTTTATTTCTAAATCTTTTGTTTTTCTTTTTGAGCAAAAACAAGATATACGTTTGATCCACAGTGGAACTCATATATTATAGATTTTGCAATAAGTAAAGATGCAAGAAATAAAATGCGGAATAACAAAAGCAAAATTAAGAACAAACACACCAGAGATTTATAGTGGTTCGGTCACCCTGACCTATGTTCACTCCCCGGAGTCCTCCACTTTGAATAATGCACTAGAATTTATTGACTTAAGTTGTTATCCTAATTGATATGCATCACAAAGGTGATCATTGGAAAAGTCTAATTTGGGTATGCCTCTAACTATGTCTTTTTGAGTTATCTTCCCCAGATTTTTTATGCTTGCGTGGCATAGTCTTCTATGTTTAGTCATGATTCATCAACAACAATCTTCAAATATAAAGTATTTAAATTATCAATACAAAGAAAATCTAGCATTTACTCTTTTTCTTTTTAAAATAATTTTTCTATTCAGACTAATCATATAATTTTATGATTTAAGTGCACAGAAAAAATAGTTCGGGCATTTAGATTTGAACAATAACCTATAAGTTGTACAAGGCCTCTGTCCTCATTGCTCAATTCATTAAAAGATATTTTAGTTTTGATGCCGTTTATAAATCTAGATGATGTAGAGTTTTTTTGTATCATATGCCACAGCGAGTCAATCGATTGTAAAAATGTAGGGTTACAAATTTTTTTAAAATCAAAGAGAAAATGATCAAATAAAAGTGGTCGGGTTATTGAATAACCCTCCGCATCGCAGTATTTCTATTCCTTAGGTGTGCTAATTAAATTTTCATTTGTTATTGATATTTGAAATATATGTACTCTCTTTCTATGTATATTTATTTAAATGACAATCAATATTTAGTTGTTATTATTATTATTTTAAATTTATTATTATCGTTTTCAGTCCTTATACCATCTATAATTGTGTTTAAGTATGTTTAATATTTATAATCTTTAATTTAATACCTAATATCAATGTAATTGTACTAGTCATTTTATTTATTTAATTTGAAATTATTTATAACTTAAAATTAATCTAAAATATAAGCAATATAGCTCGTGAAAGTATAAAATTTTATAAGTTAAATAAGTATATTTTTATAATTTTAAATGTCTCATCTCTCCCATAATATAAATATTATAATATTGCCAATTGACATTCATATCTTATTTCAAACCTACTTAAATGATACATTACTTTACTCTTTTTTTCCTTTCTGGTAAGTTATAACCTAGATAAATATTTTATAAATTAATTATCCTAATTTATAAAAAAAATCTTAAGATAACAATATTTAAATTTTATAGTTAATAAAAGTAAAATTTCTTACCTTCTACCCCACACGTAAATTTTGCCCATTCCCTAGCCGCTCGCCCAACACACCTTCCCTCTTGTCAAGTTAACTCAAGGGCGTGCTCTTCTTCTTCCCTCGCTTCTATTCTAACTCTCTCTCTCTCTTTCCCTTGCCCTCCTCTCTTTCTCCAATTTATAGGGATTAGGGAGGAAACCCATTCGCCTTATTTGTCTCCTGCCGATGGAGGCGACCACGACACCAATCGATGGACTCCTTCGCCACTCCAAATGATGGAAATGAATCGATTTCCGTTCGTCTTCTTCGATACCATGTATCGAAATCGAAGGTGATATTGAGTAACCAAATGAGCTCCTTAGTCTCCTATGCCTTCTTGCATGCCTTCTTCGACTCCCGCCGACAGAGCCGATTTTCTATTTCCCATGCTCGTTTTCATCTACCTCGACTCTTAAGCAATCAAAGGAGGTTTGGGACATAACATCCATTTTGGGTAAATTGGATATTGAATGCATTGGTGCACCCCATATTGAGAAATAGGCAATGATTAAATATTATTTATGATAAGGGTGAGAAACTTTGTTGTTATATTTGATCTGGTCGATTGTGGAATGGTTATTGAGGTCGACAAATAAATTTGGAAAGGCAAAATATTTACCACCCCTACTCTAGCTTTATATTCTCTATAGAAACTTGTATGTAACAATTTTCTCTAGTGTTGAAAAAGACGCTACTGCATTAAATTTAGACGAAAAATCTGAGAAATCTCAAGTTAGAACTGTGGTATAACTTCTTTTAACCAAGGTTGAAAATGAAAATTACTATGCAAAATGATGTGAGCAGGAAGATCCCCTTTGTTAGAGCACAAGAGCCTGCGAAGAAAGCATTTATTGAGATTGGTTATACATTTGCAGAGTTCTTGGACAAAACGTGCCGTTGAAGCTGATAACCCACAACCAATGTCTCCATCCGAACATATTGCAGGTCCATGTGATAGTACTTGTGCCCAAGTTATTCATCCTAAATCTGAAGCATTCTGCAGCAAGAAGGTACCAGTAAATGCTAGCATCGACTGGAAAGAACAGAAGAAAATTACAGGTATTGTTCTTAATTGCTATCATTTGCCAATAACTAGGTTTTAAATGATTTATTTTTCCCTTTTACGCTTTGAATTCTCAGCGGCTTATATCATGGACACCGATCTTAGGAATGAATCTTATCAAACTGATAGAATTTCCACGAAACTAACTGGTCCAAGCACGGAGAAATTGCATGAGAATATGCCAAACAATATTGATGTAGTTCTGTATATGAATTACGGCACAATTGATGAACCACACGCTCAAGCTCCTGCTCAACTTGGCAGCAGCTCCATCAATACTAATCAACAATCGGTTTTGGGTCCTCCCGACACCTCTAAAGATTTCTTAAAAATATCAGAAAACAAAGATAATGGATATGTTGAGTTGCCATCTCTTGTGCCATCTCTTGAGCTAAGCCTCAAGAGAGTCAGATCGAGGATTATTCCATCGAATGATGAAAGAAATGTTTTAAAACACTCAAACCTGTCAGCATTCTCAAGGTGAGCTGTTTATTTGTGGCCAAAGTGTTTGAACTAGCTCGATCTCAACTTAACAAAATTATGCAGGTACCCTGCTTCAGTAGCCTCCGTTCAAACGCCTACAGCGTATGGAGGAAACTCTGTATTTGACAATGGTTCTGAGGCAGCTCCTCTACAACAGGGTTCTAATGGTAGTAGCAATAACAATAATGATAAGGGTTCTACTAGCATAAATGTAGTTATGAAGCCACTGAAATATAAAGAGGTGTCCACATCAGCCTTTCATCGTGTTCAGTCTCAAAGTTCTTCCATTCAACCAGTCACACAAGAGAAGATTGATGAAGTGGCCGTAGCACCAGTGATTGGACAATTAAGGGGATCACAAAAGAAAGTACAAGTACAGCACCATCATCATCACTATCATCACTACCACCATCATGTCCATGCTTTGCAGCCCCAATTGGATCAGGATGACTCGTCCGTTGAGAATTTGAAAGGAAATGTTGAGTACTGCAACTCATCTAATGTGTTCGCAACACCAGTTGAAGCTAATGCTGCTAACTATAGCTTAAATGGAAGTAATTCAGGAAGTAATCACGGGAGTGATGGGCAGAAGGGATGTAGCACAGCTATTAATGCTGGAGGAACAAACATTGAGAGCACGATGGGCGTAGCTGAGAGAAATGGAGTTGTTGGAAGTGGTAGTGGAGCTGATCAAAATCGTTTTGCTCAGAGAGAGGCTGCCTTGAGCAAATTCAGGCAAAAAAGAAAAGAAAGGAACTTTGGCAAAAAGGTAATGAGCTCCTACTTGAAATATTCAGTCATTTTGTTATTAAGTCATCGATTCTTCATTGGAAAGAGAAACTTTGGCAAAAAGTGATGTGAAACAAGCACAGGAATTGCAGGATGTTAATAAGAAAGTTGTTTTAAGCGATGCAATTATAATCTAATGTTTCACTAAGATTGGATTCTCAATTTTCGTAGTTGTTGATTTGATTCGGCATGCAGTTACAATTTAAATTAACGGAGCAATTCAAAGTAACAACAAAATATAGTAAGACTAAATGTGCTAATAATAAAAATCCCTCATCTAACAAATATAAATTTTACCTACGAGTTTTCCTCTTATTCACTTTTGATAGTGGGGTTAGATAACTTCAGCTATCCTAGGGATGCCACTGAAAGGAGGAGGATGCCTACGACCTTGATCCACAGAAAGTTAGCTGGAGGAGGGGTAGTCGGCTGATGTCCGATGATTTTCCAAAGTCCAGAGGGTAGATGTTCTTTGATAGAAGGTGCCAAGGTGAATAGGATACGGTCAACGTACGCGTCGACGGTGTTGTCAACTTCTAGATTGAGGTCGAAGAACAGAGATTGTAGAATATCGACTAAGCCTTGATGGTAGTAGACGAATCCGTGGTCACGCTCGTGGCCGGCCATCCACGGGAAAGATAAATCGCTTCAATTCCGGAATGGTCAAGTGGCCGGCAATTTGATGGTGAGGGGGGAGGGGTTGGCCAGTCTTGGGGAGCTTTGGGGTAAAGGAATTAGGGAAATAATGGAAGAGGGAGGTGGTAGGTTCGGCCAAAACTAGGGAAAGGAGTTTCCTTTAGGTTTTAGATGTCAAGTATTGGGTATGGGAGGGAAAGAGATTAAAAGAGAAAAATCTGAAATTCCAAATTACCTTAATGGGGAATTAATTAGGGAAAACTGGAGAGAGGGGGCCGGCGGCTTAAGAGGGATTAATGGGCTTAATTGGTAGGCTAGGGAATTAATTGGGGAGAGGAAAAGGAAAGGGGAAGGGGCCGGCCAAAGGAGAGAGGAAATATGTCCACATTCAATGTATGTGGTCCTAGGCTATAAATGATGATTGGCTACCTAAATCTAAATTAATATTTAGATTTAATGATTGGGGAAGTTTCTTAAATTAGATCTACTGATTAGGAAAGGGATTAGAAATTCAAATTAATTTGAATTCAAATTAGAAACTTTCCAAATCAATATTGGGATGAATTTGGATAATATTTAGGAGGGAAATTGAATTGGGAATTTAGGGTTTGGAGTTAGTATGGCCAGCGACTAGGGTGGACTTAGGTGGGCCGACTGCTAGGGGAGGGGCGGTGGGGCTTGGATCGGTGGAAGGGGGGGATCGGCAGTGATGTTTGGACCGGCGCTTGGGGCAGCAAGGGGAGGCTGGTGGTGGGGAGGTGGAGGGAGGTCGATTATGGTGGAGGTGGAGGGAGGATAGACCGGCGGTTTGGGGTGGATTGGGAAGGGTGGCCAGCGGTGGAAGCAAAGGGAGGGGGAAATTGAAAACAACACAAATACTAACCGCGAACCTCGGCCTCTGCTGGCGGCTGACGGGTGATGCTTAGCCCTCCTAGGGTTCCTTTCCCTCAAGAATTCACAAAAGAAATCAAGAAAAAAGCTGGAATTTTCATTAATAATCAATCATCCCTCATACATTAGAAAAGACCTCTATATATAGTCTAAAACAAAAGAAAATATAAAAGACGCAAATGCCCTTGGGGCTACAATATAATTATTGTCCCTCATGGGGTGTATAATAGTAACTAGAACATAAAAATAAAATGCAAACAAAATATAGCATAAATAAAGGCTCTGAATTATAGCCGTCAATCTACGATTCTTCCGATGATAGACATGCAGAAATCTCCTTATGTCCTCATCAAAAAGCTAATGAGCTCCTTCATTAAAATATATCAGTTTGTTAACATGTCATTGATTCTTCATTGGTTGAAAAAAGAATAAAAGAAACATGCGCAAAAAGGTAATGAGCTCTTCCTCGAAAATACTCAATCATTTTGTTGTCATGTAATTGATTCTTCAATGGTTGGAAACCTAATAATGTTTGCTGTTAGCATATACAAAAGATTTCAAATTCATATACAGAGCATAATCTAATGTGACTATCCTATACAAAGCGTTGAAGTTTTGACCCCCCAAGCTTGGGATCTGAAGGTCTTCTAATATTGGATAAGTCTCATTTTGTAGTTGTGACCATTGATTACTAATTTGTTTTATTGTGGAGCTTAATTTTTTATCATACAAAGAAAATGTGCTACGTAGATTTCGTTATGATTCATTTCATCAAGATTATTTTGAAAATTTTATTTTATTCTTGATTGCCTTAATTTTTTCTTTATAAAAGATGGAGTTTTTTTTCTTTTTTGGATCAGAGGAATTATGATTTTCATTCTCCATAACCAAGTCATGCTACATCAACTGAGTAAACATTATTTTTTAAATTTTATTCTTTTTCTCTCTATTCCTCGGGCTAGTTATGTAAAAGTAATTCATTTATGGTGATGCATGAACGTTTTGGAAAGAATTGGGACTTTTCCTTTTGTTTTGTTATTTGCAGGTACGCTATCAGAGCCGGAAGAGATTGGCAGAACAACGGCCTCGTGTTCGTGGGCAATTTGTTCGCCGGATAATCCACAATGAAGACCATGAAGAAGAAGACAGCTGACAATTAGCGTTTGATTGATTACACCCTGATGTACATAGAGGCATCAGAAAGTTGGGTTTGGGAGAACAAACTTGTTATGAATAGGGCCTCAGCCAGGTTCGTAGAGTCCCTATTAAAGTGTCTCATAAATGTTTTGAAGACCTCTTGGTTGCTCCTGGATGGTCACCCTTCATAAGGGGACCATCAACCATTATAGGTTATTGTGGCATTTCCAGTGTGGTTTGTGCTGGTTAACTAATATGCTTTATTAAGGAAGGTAACCAGGTTTTACTATATATAGAGTATATATTATTCAACCAATTTAATCATGCTGAAATTTGTCATGTGCTGCTAGCATGATGGAAGGATGCTCAAAGCTGTTGTCCTGTAACTGTACTAGAAATTGTCTTGGTTATCTTACCCATCAAATATGGAAATTTATGTAATATGGCTTCATAGAGTAGGATCAATATCTTACCCTGTTTATATTATTATGAGCCATTTTAATTCACGAGCAGCAGGCACCTATTCTTCACGCAATTGTAGTATAATGAGAGCTACTTTCAACAAAGAAAAATGGTTTTTCCTGCTACTTATGACGAAAGCTCTAATAGGTTTTTTATGAAGAGGGTCTTGAAGAATATACATTCTGTTTTGTGAGTGTTGAGATTGAGGATTCGGTTGGGATAATTTTTTTTTTTTTTGCTTATAAAAAATTTTTTTTTGCATAAAAATTAGAAAATTATTTTAAAAAATAGTAGAAAAGTCATCCCAAACAAAGCTTGAATTGTGAGTATTGCTGCATTGAATTTCATTGTTTCTCAAAATTTCAAAACAAAAAAATTAGTATGTTATGATTAAGGCTAACGTGGATAAAAGCAATAGTTTTGAAAGTCATATAAATTGTGAACTACAAAGAAACAGAAGGAACTCATTTTAATTTTAAAATAATATTTGATAACTCATTTATGTATATGATATTTAAATTTTTATATTTATTAAATTATATGAAAATGGTACTGATATCAAAATCTTGTCATAAATATTTTTTAAAATAATATTGATATTATATTATTAAAATAATTATTAAATTTAACAATTAACCTTAATATATGAGAATTTGAAGTTAGAACCTAATTTGTGCTTTTGGTTGGGGCTTTGTTTTCTGGTTTTAGTTTGGGTTTATTTCATGTGTTCTTTTTCTTTGCTGCTGCATTGTTTTTGTTTCGATTGCAGCTTTACTGCTTGTGATGTTTAGCCTATCTGTTTTCTGGGCAGTCGTGGTCCACTTGTGGTTTTTGGCTTGATGGTCTATTTTACTCTCGGTTGTTCCTATTTGTTGTCGTTTGAGGGACTTTGTCTATGCCTTGGGGTTGTTTTAACTGCTGGTGGTGGTTTGTGGTGGGTGTTGTATCTTGATGTCCATTTTTGCTCTTACTTGGGAGGAGGATTCGTGGGTGTCTCCTGGTGCTTTTGGTTGGTTTTGTTGTTTAATTCTTATTGTCCTTGGTTTGTTTCTTACTTGTGTATTCTTATTTCTATTGTAGTGTCAAGTTTCCATCACTATTTGGCATTTTTTGTCCTTTTGGATCTGTTGGTGGTTGTGGGGTTGGTTACTCGGTCTATCTTATTGTTTTGCTTTGGTGGGACTTTTCCCTATATCCTTCTCAATTTTAGTGGTGTTTCTCCTTCTAGTGCTTGGTGTTTCAGCAGGTTTGTTTGGCTGGGTTTCCTGTTGATTGACATTTGTTGTTTCTATGGTTGGATGGCTGCTTCCTTGGGTTGTCAGATGTTTTCTTATTCCTGTTCCTTCTGTTTTACCATTTCTCTCAGCTGGATGGGCTTTTCTTCTGGTTGTCCATGTCCTGATTTATCTTGGATTTTGTGTACCTATGTTGGGATTAATGGAGCCAGGTTACTTGTTTTAATTGATGTTTTAGCTAATCATATTACTATGAAGGTGAACAAGTGTGATATCCACTTTTGCATTTCTATGAATTATGCTGATTTGGTTCATAAGGTGGATGTTGGTTCCTCCGGTTGTTCTACTAATAAGGTCACTCTTAGTGCAGGTGTTCGTGGTGGAGACAATCTGGAAAGGGTGCTGGATAGGTTGCTTAATCTTAAAGCTATTTTTTGTTGTTTTCATCATTTTTGGGTGCTCGTTCTTGTACGCCGTAGAATGTACCTAGGTCTTCTTTTACTTTTTGCTTTGAAGGGACCTCAAGCTCTTAGATTTTTTTTTTTTTTAATTTTGTAGATCTTTTGAGCATTAGTGAGTTTGAGGTCCCTTTAAGGATTATGTACTTTTTATTAATTAACGCGTAGGCCCTTCTGTGGGTTTCTCTTATAAAAAAAATCTATTCTGACTATGTTATTATTAAGAAGCCGCTTAAGTGTACTTTTATATTAAATTCTAGTTTTTATTTTATTTTTTAAAATATTATTTTATCTCTTTATTATATTATAAATAAATAATAAATTTAAAATATAAAATTATTAATTTATTGATCCTTCCGTTTTTAATTAATCCAATTAATCTAAGATTAAAATAGTGGTTCGATTGAGTTAACTCTGCTTAGCATTCCATGGTGTTACCCATTTATGAATTGGTCTGATTCACCTCCTCTATCGCATGTAATTAATTTTCAAATAACCCTAATTAGCACTCTTAAGGTGTTACCCATTTTTGTTTTTTTTTTTTTTCGTTTTGCACCCTTCAGCTTGCCCTAACTCTTCATCGTTTCTCCGGTAGCTTTCTTTTCAAATTATTTCGATCTCTTCACCTTTGACTTAACATCGTTTCTTCTTAAAGGAATCTACGTCTCTCGCGTTCCTACTTTTGGAAAATTGAATAAAACCGTCGAACCCTTTGGAATTTCCAACAAAGTTAAAAAAATGTTTCGATTCTCCGTAAGAAAACTGTCAAAGCTCTGTTCCCACAAAGATAAATTTTCTCAAAATAATTTTTTCAACCACTAAAAATAAATGTGCAGAAAATAAAAATGAAAAAAATGAAGATAGAAAAACACCAAATTTTATAGTGGTTTGGTCCAACTAGAACTATGTCCACTTCCTGGAGACTCATTCTTCAGGTATTGCGTTATACCAAAATGACTCTCCTTTTTCTCCCTAGTAAGGCGGAGAAGCCCTTAAAACAACCTCTCTTCCACATACCTCGGTGCAGTAGAGTACCAACGTTCTTCCTCATCCTCCTGGTAATGGGAGAGTCCCAACATCCTTTCTCACCCTCCTAGTGATGACAGAGCACCGACATCCTTTCTCACCCTCCTGGTGATGACAGAGTATCGAATCTCCTCCAAAGATCTTCTCTCAAGAGTTTTCAAAGAAGTAGAACAGAGATTTGAAGAACATATAAAGAGATCATCACCTTTGGGCAACCTTGTGAACCCTTCACAATTTCCACTTGAAATATCTCTCAACCCTCACTCCCAAACACTTTCCCTAAATACTCTCTCTATCACTCCCAAAAGAGAATTCATAGAAGAAGTAGGATAGGCAGTATTTAGGACTCTTATATATGAAGGATAAGAAAAACTGTCCAGAAAACAAAAAATTTCAACTTGAACGTACTTGGATAGTACAGTACAATCATACTTCGTACGTACGAACAGTTCAAAAAATCCATGTACAATCCTATATGAACTGATTTTGTACTTTTGCAATAGTAGGTTTGAACTGACATCGCATTGTATGACTAGTTCAAAATTGATCAAGTTAGTCTAGTACAATTTTGTATGAACCCATTTTGTACACTTTTCGTCGTCTATACGTACCATATATCATATAGTATGGATAGTTTAAATAAATCATGCTTCATATGGTACGAACATGGATGATCCCATTTCGCACACTGACATCATTCTGTACGAACCCAAGTTCGTACAATATGAATAATTAAAAAATTTTAGGCGTTTATATGGGATGAATTGGTATGCACCTTTTTCATACTCTGGATGTCGTCTATACAAACCTCACTTCATACAGTACGATTAGTTCAAGAAATAGTGAATTCATTTAAGACAAACTGGTACATATCCATTTCATACTCTAGACGTCGTCTATATGAACACAATCGTACAATACAAACAGTTGAAAAGATAATTTCCAAGGCATGATTCAATAACTTCATTCTGGAAGAACTTTCATGTCAAATCGTTTAGTACGATTCAAGAATCGTACAATACGATTAGTTTTTAAAAATAAACTTTTAGACTCACTCCCCCAATGTGTGTGTGTGTGGTTACCCAATTACAATCATATTTTCTCATACTCAAGAAAAATAAAAAAAAATATAGACTTCAATTACAAGAAATTATAATCTAATATGTCTTGAAGTCTTCGACAGTCTGTAGTATAATTTCCCTAAAATATTAGTACATACAAACACATAAACAAAATATATTCGATATATGTAAAGATAAATATTAATAAACATAATAATATTTTGGTATCATTAAAAACTCACATGATATAAAAATATAGCTTTGAAATCTAAGATGCAATAATCTCATCCTTTTTATTGATGACAAAATAATTATTATTTGAGTAAACATTTAAGGCAATTTCTCTTCTAAGCTTCCCCTTAATGAGTGACTAATTTAAAACAAGGAATTCTATTAAAAATCAAAACTAGATCAACAAATTAAAAAGAAACAAAAACTCAAACAAAAACAACACAATAAACATACACACAACTTAAACAAAAATAACACAAACAAATATACAAAACAACACAAACAAACATACACACCATAACACAATACACACATCATAAAATTATATTATAAATAATCATACACACATACGTCAAATAACAATTCAAACAACAAATTCATCAAACAAATAAAATATCAAAGAATAACTACTGACTCCCCCTTTTGACAACAACAAAAAGGGAAGTACTTATTGAAAAGATAAGTTTCAATGAATAATCAAAATAGATGATGAAGATTTTTTTTTAAAACTAATTACAAATATAACATTAACTTCCTAATGCTAAAAAAAAAAGTCAAATTTAAAATCAAAGAACAAATAAGATAAGAAAAGTTAACTAGGTTCACTATTCATTCTACATATATAAAATAAAAATAATTGCAAAAATGATGAAATAAAGATTAATTATTTTTTAATTCAATTGTGAAGATTATTGTTGATTATGTAGATTTGTATAAGAGACAGAATGATAAAGAAAAAAACAATATCAATTTTTCAATTGGCAACATTGTGTATATTTTTAATTATTTGTGGCATACTTTGAGCATCTTTTCAGTTTGGGTTAATTTTTTGCCTCTTTTTACTTTGGCGAACGTTGCGATCTTTCAAAATCATTTACACATTTTATACATCTTTTCAAGTTGGGCATGCTTTGTGCATCTTTTTATATTTTTGGTCTTTCCAGTATTAATAAATCTTAAAACAAAATCTAATAATTAACAAAAATAAATACATTGAAAAGGAAATAAAATAAAAATAAGACATCTATTTTGC